GATGTTGAGAACAGCTTATGGGGATGCTGCTTTATCTTCAAAATTTGATCTGCTCAAAATATAGCACGCACTTTGCTGACGATATTGACTGCTAGAAAGACTCGGAGACAACTGAGAAGGGCCAGATTGTATACCTAACATTCTGCATCAAAGGCCCTGATGTCCAATTGATCGATTGACTTCCCGACAATTCTAATTAGGCCCCCAAAAATAGTCTTATTACTTTTGGAACAGACCTGCATGAATATGCATCTTCTTTTATTTATGATTATTGTGGCGACTTAAAGCGCCACACACACAAAGCGCCGCCGGCAGGCAGCGGGAGTCCGCGGCTGCGCGCACGCGCCGTGCACCTGTCACGCGCCACCGGTAGGCGGCACAGGCGCCCGAGTACCGCGCCGCGTTAACTACTCGCGGAGCACCACCAGAGGGCCCGCGGGTCGTACAGTTACGCGTGAGTGAAAAACGATCAGGAGGGCCCCGGGACCGCAGTCAACGACCGCACTTGCCTCGCTCTATTGAGCCGCCACAACGGATAACGCATTCGGTTAACTAGGCGTAAGGCGAGGGACGACAGAGGCCTAAAAACCACTGTCACGAGAAACCAGTAGCAGCAGTGTTCTGCTTCGAGCTGGCCGATCAGGAGACGACACGGGCAGGAGCCCTGTCTCGAGGACAATCGACGACACGAGCAGGAGCCCTGTCTCGAGGACAACCGACGACACGGGCAGGAGCCCTGTCTCGAGGGCAACCGACGACGATCGAGTGGAAACTCCTTCCACTCGATTCGTCTCCTGTCCGGAGGACCAGGCCACCAAGAGCCACACTACAACAAGGGACATCAGGATCTGGCGGTACACATCACCGAGGCACCACCGGGAGATACCACGAACCCCTGGACGCACTCCAGAGCCTTCGTCGGCAAGCGAGTGGGAGTCGCCTGTGAAAGCGGCTTTCCCGCAAGCAGCACCGGAAGCGCCGACGCCTCAGCCGATCCGGATCTCCCTTCCTCTGGAAGTAGTACCGCGACTCCTGCAGACGGCGCCGGAGCCCACCAAGGAGTCATCGGAGGACCAACGCTCCCCTCACGACGGGCCAGGAGACGCGCCAACAAGGCGCAGGAGGATCTGCGTTGGGGGCCAATAAGGACCACCACCACGCAGCCTCCTCTTCAGTGGCGTGAGCGTCGCCACTGAGGCGTCGGGAGACGCCAGCCTTCGGGCCAACAAACGGCCTCCGGGCCAATCAACCAAAGACCGCGCATACGCGCCTTGTACATAAGTTGTAAATAGGAAAGAGTAGAAATAAACGTATCGTCCAACAAAACTGTCTCGTGATTGAGAACGCCTCAACTCCCGTGCTTTCCTAAGCCTGACATACGCAACGTGGGTGGCGCCTTATATAAGACCCCTACAATTATTATATAAAACAAAATATACACATACATATATTACATATATATGTCTATATTTTGTTAGAATTTTATGAAAATAACTTTTTATTGCAGATACATTTGAAAAAGGGATGGAGAAGCTGAAATTTGCTGAAGACATATCAGACTTGGAATCTGATAGTAACGATAGAGAAAAAAGTCGTCATTCTAGACATACTGTCATTTTAGAAGATACAGTCGATGAAAATTCAAAAAGCATCGATGATGATAACGATGAGCCTAAAAGTATTGAAAATAATACAACGCTCGATCAATTTCCAGACGAATCGGAATTTAATGTGGAAGTCGTTACTACAAATACTACCAGTGTCATAAATTCCTCAAATGTTTTGGCGACTTTTTGACTGTCCAATTATATATGACAATGCCATGTCTGATGATAATAGAATTAAAAAAATTGTTTCATCGGCGATTAAGGAACATGAAACCGTTGCCATTAATAGTAAGTTTGTAATTATTAATATATTGCATCTAATATAATATAATTTTATTTATTTGTTAAATATTTATAAATACATTAATATATATTTAAGTACTTCTATTTTTGAATTTCAGATGGTAAATCCGCAATATTTAAGAAGCCTGCAGTAAAGCAAGATAAATGTATCAATTTTATTACGAACAGTAAGTTTATAATCATTTTTTATATACATCTAATTAATAATGTATGTATTATATGTTATACATTTCATTTTATATAAAATTTTATTTCCTGTATAATTTTAGAAAAGGAACAACTTGCGCTACGACATCTCGAAAAACAAAATATAGATTGTTCTAATAACAATAGTAAATTTTCATTTTTTTATTTATAAGTATAATTATACATATCAGTATAAAATATTAAAATTGAAAATAATTAAATTGGTTATTGCAATGTTCAATTGCATCTCCAATAATTTAATATTTATAAAATTCAACATTTTAGAAGGACTTGCGGAAATTTTTAGAAAGCTAAATAAGATGATGCAAGAGATTCAAATAATCAAAAAAGATGTTGCTGAAATTAAAGAAAATCTCAATAACGGACCTAACACTAGCAAGCACGGCAGTTTACGCATTGTGAATCGAGAATGTATTGACGGAAAAAAGATTTATATCGAAACGCTGGATGACTTGGACAAAATGGAGAATGAGTTAGAAGATATTGAATTCTTCCAAAAAGTTGTAAGGGAAATTATAGTTTTCATATATTAATTTTATAAGCAAATTTTAATTTTTATTATAATTATTTTATTATTATTATTATTATTAGTAGTAGTAGTAGTAATAGGAGTATTATATTATGACACTATTGATCGTAATTACAAATATATCATTTTCGGAAATAACTTTTTGTTTCAGGGTACATTTCTTTGTCAGATTGGTGGCGATGATGTCAAAACCATTACCCGTAATGTCTTGTTCCAACTACTTTCCAACGAAATTGCAACAGGATTCAGTTGGGCAAGAATTAGAGGAAAAAAGGGTTTCAAGGATTTGAATTTAACAAAACTAGTTAGAGGTAAATTTTAAATCTATATGTGTGGGAATTGATGGTGTAATCCCACAGGTGTTGTAGATAACAAGTTTATTTGGATGATAAATTACAAAGTCGGTGGAAGAACTTAACTGAACTAAAATATTCGAACTCGGATGATTAGCACCTCTCGTCGCAAAGCTCAATCTCTTAATAATGGAAACTCACGTCTCTCGCCACGCGTGTGGTGTCTTCGCGCCCTCTCTTGCCTACTTTCTATTGCGCTATCTAAGATCTAGTTATTTCCCTAACTCCTTCCTACATTCCCACATATGCAATTCTGTAAAGATTTTTCTTTAATGAATTATATTAATATAATTACGTAAATGATTGAAATTGTTGCGGATCTTTTAGTGGCTTTTTAAAATATAATACATAAATATAATATTAAATAAACTATATCTTTATTTAAATGGATCGAAAAAAATTATTAAAAGATTTACAACGGATTTGAAATTTTATTATGAACTGCTCGAGAAAAACAAAGAGAAAAAAAATGATAATATATATGTTATATGTATATCGGCGTTAAATTCTATTTTTATTATTTTATATAAAAATATTTTTTATCTTATAATAATCTTATTAAAAAAAAACATGTTAAATCAATACTCGTATCTGTCGAAATGTCTTGAAATTTATTATTGACTTTTTTCCGCGACGTGATTAGTTCTCTGGCTGCACTAACTTTGTGAGCGGTTGTTATTGTATATTTTGACAGTTGTATGTATTATCAAATTATATTAAAATGTAAAAATGTTAAATAGTGCGCGTAAAGAGCGCATTTGTAATGCTACGAGTAATATATAAATTTCACATATTCATAGAAAATATTCTGTTTGTAAATTCACTAAAGAAGTAATTTGTTAAACATAATTTTTTAATTTTATGCAATTAATATGGGTATATTTTTTATAGTTGTGGTGCAGAGTCAACGAACAGCTACATCAGAGACTGAAATTGACAGTATTATTGGAAAATGGCTAGTTCAAGCCCCATTAAGATGCAAGAGAGAATTGTATGTACACTTCATATCTGTATGCTTTTTGTATAATACTATAGTATTAATACTAATACTAAATTATGCCTTAGGTCTCGTTCGGATGGAAAAATAATTGTAGTAGTGCGCCTGAGCACGTTTAGTCAACAGAATTCAAAAAAATACCACTTAAGTGGAAAAAATTCTTTTTTTTGCTTATCGGTGCGCCTAGCAACTCCGGCGCGCGCAAACGTAAACATTCTTCTTTATTGTGCTTCTGTTTGCGTTAGTCAACGGATTCTTCGTGTGTCTCTTCAAGAAAATTTGCTTTTTTCTTTTGGATTCTTAGTTTCGATATGCCGGGTTCGCATCGCCGAAGTCGCTTGAGATCTAAGGATTATCGACGTCACAAGAAACGCTCCCATGTCTACAGGAGAGTTCGCGATAAGTTGCGTTCTCGTTCTCGTTCTCGGGAAGTTAGCCGATCCTCTTCCGATGATCGACCACAACGAGATTCATCGAGGCCTTCTTCCATGCCTCGAGATTCAAGTCTCCTTGAGCAGATCTTGGCGGCGATCCAGACTCAAGGCCAAAAATTATTCTTACTCGAGGGCGAGGTTAAGGAATGTTCGATGCGCTTTCCTGCTTCTCAGTCACATGAGGTACCGACGACTCTCGAGAGTCGGGGCTCTGATCCAGGTAAGCCCCCTTGTTAACCCTTTTTTCCAATACCGCGTTATTTGCGGTTTGCGTATTGTGCTCTGTGAGAGCTGATCAAACGCTGAAAATTGGCAAAGAGGGGGCTTAACCGACGGCTCCTCTGCGACATCAATTCTTATGGCTATTCTTATGTCCTTTCCCCCCTCCTTTTCAACCGTAGCGTCAGATCCTATGCATCATGAGGTTACCTTCGCGCTTCCAGACGCTGAACAAAATGAGGTCCCTTCGCTTGCCCGTCAGCTTTTCCATACGCAGGAAGATTCCTTGGATCGTTTAGCGTGGGACCAAGTTATCCTTAATTTTGCCATTACCACTGCCCGTTCGGGCCTACAGGAGGATTTACGCTCTCAATTGATAGCAAAGTTCGAGGTCAAGGATGAGCTTTCTGCGTTAGGCCCACCAAAGCTTAACAAGTTACTTCTCCCGGCTCTAAAAGCCTCTTCAACGGTTTTTAAAAGAGACGAATATCAAGTCCTGTCCCAAAGCCAGGTTGCAGCCGCTCTTAATGCTTTGGGCGCTGGTCTTTCTTGTCTCACGAAACCCGACGTATCTTCATGTCTGCCATCGGAAGGAAGCTCGGCACTCGCTCAGATTGCTAAGGGCATACAGCTCTTAACAGATCATCAATACAGGTTATCTCTGGCCAGACGAGCGTTTATAAAACCGACCCTAAACTTGTTGGGGAAGTCTACAGCGGATGTAGCGCCTATAGATGAATGGCTTTTTGGCGCCTCGTTCGTCGATGAAGTCAAGAATGCGCAGGCTTGTGAGAAGGTCGCTAGAGGCGTTATCAAATCTACCCCAACGGTCCCCAAGATCACCTCCCAGCAACCAGTGAGAAATCAACCGATTCGAAGGCAGACGCTCTCGGGAAACGTGAAAGCCCCTGTGCGCCGGCCGAATCAAGCAAGTCGTCGGACAGGGGCTCATCTTTCGAGGAATCGCTCTCAGAAATCGGTTTCACGCTCCCGTCATCATCGTCGTTAAGTTCGGTAAGAACTGCACTGCAGGCCGCCTGGCTAGATTCTCACACAATTAAGATGCTTTAACATCAGATCCTGAAGTACTGGAGGCAATTCGGGGATACAGGATTCCTTTTTCATCTCTGCCGCCCCCCCGTATTTTTATTAGTGAACCAGTGTTTTCTGAGGCGGTGTCATGCCACTGTAAGACTGAAATTGAGAGACTTGCTAAGAAGGGAGCCATTTATCCGGTGCAACCTTTATCGGACCAATTCCTTTCTCCCTTCTTTTTAATTGAGAAAGCATCAGGGGGCATGCGTTTTATTTTAAATTTAAAGGCTCTCAATCAATTTATTCTTCCCCCTCAATTTTAAGTTAGAAGATTGGAGAACCGTTGTTCGTCTTATGCTCCCTAATGTGGAGATGGCTTCTCTCGATTTA